GTACTTGAAAATATTGGGGATAAATTTGTATTTCAACCTGTGCGATTAGTCTAAAATGACTTCAAATGAGATTGAAGGTTGTTTTGCTGTTATTTTGATATTATTTTTGATTTACACACTTAAAGCTTCTCGCTGCAGATAACATTGGAGCTGCTATTTAAAGCCCAAATTGGGAACAATTCCTCTCCTTGAAGTGCTGCAGTATTTGCGTCCGAAGCGTCAGCGGCTTAGAGACTGGCGACGGGTTTAAGATTTTAAAATCGAAGATCGAGCGTCTTTGGCGGTTTAACGGAAGCTTCTAACATTTGAAATTCAACTTTACCTCTCTGAATTATCGTCCCTCCACCGCATTAGGCGTGGAATAAAACACTGCTTGGAATTTACGAGCCTCTCAAAGTTCAATCGTTCGCGAACGAACGTCGTCTAGACGCTAGAAATTTTGCAGCGTGATCCAAAGCGGAAAAAAAGGCTTCTAGCCGATTTGCAAGTGAAATGACTGGCGTCTGTCTTGCTCCGAGAAAACTCCCGGAGATGTTTGTAAACGTCGGGAACCGAAAGACAATGAGGCCGAAATTCCTTCGTTGCTGAGACGCGTCGCTTAAAATCGGCTTCAATTATTTAATAGGCATTCAGTTTTCTTAGCGACGTTACGAACGAGTTTTGAAATATAAGAATGGCTTTAATTTTTTGAAAACTCTTACCTCTCCATCTCAGGATCGTGAAAAAGAAACGCATTAATTAATTAAATTCGTAATTTAATAGTGAGGTAAGACAATGCCTAGGCTAGCTCATTAACAACCGAGAAAAATTAATAAAGTAGGAAAAAAAAAAACTAAACCAAAGCCAAGTTGGAAGGCGGTGAAGGGCACCTCGGTCAGTCCCGGAAGGTGGTAGGTAGGCGCCACGTGATTCGAAAAAGGTAGACTTATCAACCCGAGGTTCCAACCCGTAAAGGAAATAAACAAGTGAATCACGAACAATAATTTATTTCCTTCAACCTGGTGGTAGGTGTGAGTGTCAAATCTCACCTTCAAGTTTTGGCGGTGCAAAAGAATGTAAGACACTATAATTTAAGGCTATAAGTTCCGCAAACCGTTCTTGAAGAGAACAGGCCACTTAAGCTACCCAAACCTTAAGATGTCCCGAACGTTACACAGCTGTCTGTCACTATCCCGGGAACCAAGCCAAGATGGAATGGTGGCTCAATGGGACAGCCGCAGGTGGGCAGTCTCAGTTAACCCAGCAAAGTCCGTCCGGAAAGCCGGCTGCTCGATAGGGGAAACTCCACAACTAAACATGTACCCAAGAGACAGCATACACTGCAAGACACCAAGCCTGGTCTGGTATTCCGGTGAAAGAAGAAACCACGTGGAAGGTTTGCGGGAAACGGAGCAACAATACGTACAATACTAATTAAAAAAAAAACCCTAAAATAAAATCGGCATAAATTGAGGAACACTGATTAGGTGGCGAAATGGTTCCAAAAGGTAACTTACCTCGATTCGAGGGTTTTCTGGAAATATGGGGCAATGACAATTCTTTTCAAAATCCCTCGTTGAGGAAGATTCCCATTCCAAACTCCAAATAGATCCAAAAGTATGGGAAATCATAAATTAGTGACCAATTTACATATCCCCCTCTTATTGGGGTAGCACTACCGGCTCAAAAAGAAATCGGTCACACAAAAGAAAATCCGCCACAACCCCAAGCTTCAAAAGCTAGCGTACAAAATGCCGGACGATTCAGACAACCAGTTTTATTAAAAGGCTAAACGGGCACAAAAAATTAGAGGGAAAACGCCACTCTTGCCAACCTAGTCGACGGTACGCCGCCAGTAGAATTTACAACCGAACTATATCTGTGGTGATGGCCGTATGGCCCGTGTCAAAGAATCGAGATTGCGTCAACGAGATCGAACTACCCGAACGCTATCTATGGTGGCGACCGGACGGCCAGTCACAGAAAATCGAGGAAGAATAGGTTAAGAAACAAAACAATGTTTACTAGGCTCTCCGAGGAATACCGAAGCAATGAAAAGCAAATGTGGTCCCTAGTCTCATAGGGTGACAGATGGTAATGGTTATGACTCCTTCTAATGCGCAACTAATACTCTGTTTTTTTTGCATTAGTATCTCTCAGTAAACCGGTGTCACTTAAGAGAAAACCAAGCGAACAAGGGGCCACGCACACAGCCGTTGCAGCATAAAATATTTATGGTTCGGCAACACAATCGGCCGGGGAGTACAAGTCCGAAACCGAGTCTACAAAAGAACATGTGTTCAAATCGCAAAATCGATATGAACCTAATAAACAAGAATTTTAATTCTTAAGAAGCACTCGCCAAACCGCAAAAGGTGAAGGAAATGGACAGTACAATTAATTCTACAAGGTACTAATAAAATAAACCCGTTACTTCGCAAATGTGCCAGCACTGGTACTTTAAAAATGCTAAATTTTACCATTGAAATATGAAACCGTCACAAAACTTAAAAATAAATTTGATTTCCAATTGATTATTTGTGGAGTCTTTGGTCGGGTTTATTTCAAAAATTTCATGCAATTCGCTTAGCGATTGAAATTTGAAGCCGCACCTAAGAATTTTTGCAAAGTAAAAACTCAAGACTAACGAATTGTTTGTTTTTTACTAGTGCTAGAGTAAAATTTTCTCACGAAATTTCATTAAATTCTTCTATGGACTGAAATTTGAAGCCGATCTTACGACTTTTAAAATAAAGAAGAAGCTTTTAACTTTTTAAATTTTCGTTAACTACCTTTATTAGTCCGTTGATTGCTAAAATTTTATTAAACTCGGCTGGGAAAGAAAAATTTAAGCCGCTTTTAATTATTTTTTAAATAAGTAAAAATCTTTTTAAAAAATTAATTTTGTAAACACATTTTACTAGGAACGATGCGGTTGACATTCCAAATTTTGAAATAGGCTTCATTTCTTTTTTTTTTTAGCTTTTTCTACGCTTCGAATAGGCATTCCTTCCACTGGTAAAATTGCATCCTGCCAACGTCGAAACGAACAACATCGATTGTTTTTGTGTATTAAAATCGACTTCAAATTCGCGAACATTCGTGTTTTTTTTAATCGGTTCGTTTGAGTTTCCCTTCAACTCCGACGGACCCGCGCGTACGCCAATGCGTATAGGAGGAGATTAGACTTAACGAGTTTGCCATTTGCGAGACACGGTAACTGCGAGCGAGGCGGCGTTGCTTTTTGGAGAATTTCTCGCTTATGTCCGTTTAATGTAGCCAGAACGAGATAGGGAGAGAGACGGGAAAGGTTATTATACCTCGACCGACGCCGCTCAAATACATCCTGTAACTGTCGGGTACACAATCAACGCCAATTTGGAATGGCCAAAAGGATCGCTTAACGATTCGAAACGGTCGACTACCATCAATTACCAGTACCGAGGATGTGCGATTAGTACCGCGACGAAACGTCGGTCCGCTTTTAAGGCTGTCAGCCGCGCGCGGAGTAGTCCGGAACATTCCCTTTTTCCATGTTTATAAGGTACAGTGCAGTTGATCCGGACTCAATTCACTCGTTATCAAATTTGTATGATCCACCCTTTCGTAGCCGCGACCTTGTGTAAGTTGTAAGAGGCGCGGGGCGGGGGACGCGACCCTCCACCCCCCGCCCCGACCCGCCACGATCGAATCGTCCGGCGCGCGAATCAAGGTCAAGGGCGTCCGTCTAGCCCCCACCCCGACGATGTAGCACCCACGCCACATAAATCAACCCTTTTTTGTGGCCCTACGGTAAACCTGGGGCAATAAATCTGTCCGTCTTCGGGGATGCCGAAAAAGGGGGTGCCAGCCATATATACATATACACCTATAATTTACCTATTCCGACATAAGCATAGCGTAGGGTTTTTTAATGCTTTTAATGAAAAGACCGATAGAAGTGATACTTTGGTAATCGCTTAGTTTTTAAATACTATGCGGGCCGTCCGAGATCATTCCGCCAAGGTGACGAAACTTACGGTTATAACGGAAGTGGGTGCTACTTGCTTATTTTAAACGGGGGAGTTAAAAGGAATTCATTAATTCGTTCAATTCGTTTAAAAAGAGCCACTTCCGGTATAGGCTGCACTTCCTGTTATACCGGAAGTGAATGTTAAATTTCCTTTTTGTGTATGGAGGAGTTTAATAGGATGTTCAATTAAAATAGGCAATAGGCAAATAGGGACACCCTGTATAAGTATCTACTTCCGATGTGGGCTGCGCGTCTGGTTATACCGGAAGTGGGTGTCTAGTTGCTTATTTTGAAAAGCGGAGAATGTTAAATTGAAATAAGTAAATTTATCGCTTCCGGTAATGCCGGAAGTGAGTGTTAACTTTCCTTTTTTGTGCCTATGGAGGAGTTTAAAAGGATGTTCAATTAAAATAAGCAAGTTGGCGACCAATTCCGGTAAAACCGCAAGTGGCGAGAGGAGGGACACCCTTTATAAGTATCTTTATCGCGGGCTCTCTCGGGCATGCACGCCAAATCCCATTTTCCGCCTGGCGAAAATAAAATTCATAGCGGCGGACAAGTCCCCCTCCCACGGGGTGCGGGACGAAACGGCAAACCGGATTCTCTGTAATCCTTTACCGGGAACCGCCAAAGCGGAATACCCGGGGCTTGTGTAAGCAACATCTCCTCGGTCGCCGCGGCTCCTCCCGCCCGGAATATCGAACTGCTTTTACTCCGGGGAGAGCACCTTTATAACGGGCGCAGAAAAAAAAATCGGTCAACATACACGTCGAAGTATAGGTCTAGCGAAAGCCAATTCCGAATATCCTCTCTCGACGGGCGGGCGGGGCGAGAACGAGATTATCTCCGGGTATTTGCGAACTCTCAACGGGAGGGACCGATTTTTTCAGGTTTCCAGAAATATCGAAATTTTAGTATCATATACCGGATTTCGAGGTATAAGCAAAAATAAATAAGCTTTGTATTGTATTGTATTGTATTGTATTGTATATACTTTTAGACCGCAAATTAATTGCTCATTTACGTGCCAATATAAAATATGGGAAGTTCCATTTAAAATTCCCAGCTTGCCAATTGGGTCTTATCTTAAGCGATAATTTAATTCTCATACTATTCTATGATAAAGCAGTTTAATAGAGAACTGCATCCAAAAATTCAAATGTTCAGCCGTACTGGTTGCGAGAGATTTATTATTATTTTATATCGGTTTGTTTGTTGAGAAATTTTTGTTAAAAATTATTTTTTATCTCCGAAAATGCTCAAGATAAGTATTGGTACATCATGTTACATAAAAAAGTTCCAGAATATTTGGCAGAATGTAAAAATGTAATGATACGGGTATTGCGAGTATATCTCGCAACATCCCATGGCCGAAAATGTTTTGCGTAGGTAGCTAACATTTTTAGGATGGAAATCGTAACACAAAATTTGAATTTGGTGAAATATAGTGCCCTCTGGTTGCGTCACTTCAAACTCGACTTGAAAGTGTCGGCCACGCCCCGTAACAATCTCGATCGTATGCCCCGTCCAACTCCAAGCCGCTCCCCCTCCGCTTTATTGGACATTACGCCATTGGCGTAGGCAGCCTGACTGATCGTGCCAACGTCGCGCGCAAGGGGAAGGGGGGAGTTCGCTTATTGGATTTCCCCCGCATCGCGATAGCTTTCCAGTTTCTTCAACTGGCCGCTAGGGGACGTCCGCCGCGATATATGAGTTCGCGTCTTCCGAGTCCCCGCGGGCCGTCTACTCAATATATAGATATATATCCGGTTCACCGGAAAAGAACTTTTATTGCGGACGTGATGATTTCCAGACGCGCGGGAGCGGGCCGGGGGTATTGCGGCCCCCCGCCACCACCGGTTACGCAATCGACCCTCTGTCCGCCCACCGAGTGCGCGTCTCCGAGGCTTCCGCGCTCCGATAGAGCCGAAATGTCCGACACTTGATAAATTGCATCCAAAGTTAGTCCCGAGGGGCCGTGACGGCTACGCTTCATTCACATGGTACAGGGTGTTAGTCTTGTTACTGGAAAATTTTTAGGATCAATCTGCCTCGTCTATAATCGGTCCACCTCCGCCATTTTGATCGGCACCGGCGAAATTCCTAGCCGACATCGGTGCCCCGGAGCCGCCATACAGTCTCGCCACTAAGGGATGAAAAACCGCTTCAAGTTCTTCCTTCTTCCTCGCGTACTCGCTCTCGGTCGCCCTGTCGTTCGTCCTTATCCAGTCTTCTGCCTCCCGGCACAAGTTACCGACCATATTCTTGTCCCCATCCGACACGTTGGCGGAGACGGTGGGGTCGTTGATCACTCCTCTCATCCTGTAGACGTACGATTCGAGCTCGTTCTTGGCGGCCACCGCCGCCCTCATCATTTGGTCCTCTTCCTTGAACTCTTCCGCCTCCCGTATCATGCTCTCTATGTCCGTTTGGCTCAGCCTGCCCTTGTCGTGGGATATGGTGATGTTGTTCCGCCTCCCAGTTGCTTTGTCGCACGCGTTCACCGTCAATATACCGTTGGCGTCGATGTCGAAACTGACCTCTATCTGAGGCACGCCTCTGGGTGCGGGCGGGATCCCCGCCAAGTCGAACCTGCCCAGCAGGTTGTTGTCCCTGGTCATGGCTCTCTCACCCTCGTAGACTTGAATCAGTACCCCTGGCTGGTTGTCGGAATAAGTGGAGAAGATCTGAGCGTGCTTGGTGGGTATGGTGGTGTTCCTCCTGATCAGAACCGTCATCACGCCCCCAGCGGTCTCGATACCCAAAGATAGAGGGATTACGTCCAGTAAAAGAACGTCCTTGACGACGTCGTGAGTGTCTCCCGACAAGATGGCGGCTTGCACAGCCGCCCCGTACGCTACCGCCTCGTCCGGGTTGATCGACTTGTTCAGCTCTTTCCCTTGGAACATACTCTGCAGCAGCGATTGGATCCTGGGTATCCGGGTCGAACCCCCGACCAGTACCACGTCGTCAATCTTCTCTTTGCCCAGCTTGGCGTCTCTGAGCGCCTTCCGTACCGGTTCCAGTGTGCTCTCGAATATATCGTTGTTCAACTCCTCGAATTTGGCCCTCGTGATACTCGCGTAAAAGTCGTGTCCGTCGGCCAGCGAGTCTATCTCGACGGATGTCTGCGCGGATGTGGACAGCGTACGTTTCGCCCTCTCGCACGCGTTCTGCAACCTCCGCAACGCCCTCTTGTTGCCGGTAATGTCGCTCTTGAATTTTCTCCTGAATTCCTCTTTGAAATGTTGCACGAGACGGTTGTCTATGTCCTCTCCACCTGCGGAAGAGCGGTGCAATCGTAGATCGAATTTACGTTAGAGCGCCACTAACCCAAGTGAGTATCACCCGCCGTCGCTTTGACCTCGAAGATGCCACCGGATATTAAAAGGATCGACACGTCAAAGGTACCGCCTCCGAAATCGAATATCAACACGTGCCTCTCGCCGTCACCCTTTTTATCCAATCCGTAAGCTATGGCCGCCGCCGTGGGTTCGTTGATGATCCGCTGGACCTCCAGGCCGGCTATGGTACCGGCGTCTTTCGTCGCCTGCCTCTGAGAGTCGTTGAAGTAGGCCGGTACCGTGATGACAGCTAACGACACTCGGTTCCCCAGGAAAGCCTCCGCCGTTTCCTTCATCTTGCCCAGCACCATGGCGGATATCTCTTCGGGGAAAAAAGCCCTGACCTCGCCCTTGTAGTTTACCTGGATTTTCGGCTTGCCTCTGTCGTTGACCACTTGGTACGACCAGTTCTTGATGTCCCGTTGAACGGCCGGGTCGTCGAACCGCCTCCCAATTAACCTCTTCACGCCGTAAACGGTGTTCGACGGGTTCATGGCAATCTGGTTCTTGGCGCCGTCTCCCACTAGCCTCTCGACGTCTGCAATGTAGTTTTAGGCAGGAAAATTGAGCCTAACGGAGACGGTGGTACCTGTGAAGGCGACGTAGCTGGGCGTGGTGCGGTTGCCCTCCTCGTTGGCGATTATGTCGACGGTCCCGCCCCTGAACACGCCCACCACAGAGTAAGTGGTGCCCAGATCGATGCCGACCGACGGCGACTTGGCTGAAGACGCCATAAACGGCGTGAGGGATCAGGGATGACGATTCGACTTTGAGCTTGACGAGCGCGAACGTCAATCTAAATCACTGGGTGCCATCATTGACGTTGTCAAATTGGAAATAAAATAGAGTCAGTCCACCGATAGAAATAAATATAAGTAAAAAATTCTCTCAATAGTTACAGCCACCTTTACTTTACAACGATAGCACCTCTAATAATGACATGTGTTCACTTGAACCGTACATAATGATCAAGACCATGCGAGTCCAAAACACTGACTGACGTTTCTATTGAAAGTACATCCTCTTAATTAAATGGTTTATACATATAGTATATGTAGTCTGCAAATAATATAGAATGTAACTCCTTCATTCGTTAGGAGTGGATATTCCTACAAAAAAGATAAAAAGACCAAGTCTGCAATAAATAATCCTTAGGAACGGTGATTCTTAGAGAAAAAATTCAAGAACCATTTTTATAGATAATTGAATATTCTACAATTTATGTGTGAGATATTTTTTAAATAAAACTTTTCACCTTAAAGGACTTTCTGACAATATATTTACGCTGTAGTGGTGGTTTCTGTTAATGTTTTGAAACTGATTCATATTCTTCAAAGTATTCGTCTTGCTGGATGGTCATTAATTGTTCAAACTGACCCTTGAATTCAATTGAAAATTCTGCAGCGACATTTCAATGCAAAAACTATTTCGGTAGAAGCAGGTACGTGGAAAATAGAGCTAGAGAGATCAAGGTCATGCGGGTCCAAGGCACTGCCTAAGGAACCATTGAGAGTATAACCTCTGAATTAAATGATTTTTACAAATAGTACATGATTTACATAGAATACTGCTACACTCCTAGAGAAAAAATACAGAGACCATTTTTATATTCTGCATATAATGTAGAATATAACTCCTTCAATCTTCAGGATATGGTGATTCTTAGAGAAAAAATAAAAGTCCATTTTGTAGTCTGCAAATAATGTAAAATGTAACTCCTTCACTCGTTAGGATTGGAGATTCCTACGAAAAAGGTAAAAAGACCAGGTCTGCAATAAATAATCCTTAAGAACGGTGATTCTTAGAGAAAAAATGCAAGAACCATTTTTGTAGATTATTGAATATTCTACAATTTATGTCTGAGATATTTTTAAAATAAAACTTTTCACCTTAAATGACTTTTTGGCATATATTTACGCTGCAGTACTGGTTTCTGCTTATGTTTTGAATCTGATTCATATTCTTCAAAGTATTCGTCTTACTGCATGGTCACCAATTGTTCAAACGGACCGTTGAAAGTGGAGCTAGAGCAGATAGATGTTGATCAAGTGCATGCGGTCCAAGGCACCACGTTTCTTTTGAGAGTATATCCTCTCAATTAAATGGTTTATACAAATAGTACTTGATTTACTTAGAATACTCTACACTCCTAGAGACTAAGTACAAAGACTATTTTTATATTCAGCTTATAATGTAGAATGTAACTCCTTCAATCTTTTTGTAATCTGCATATAATGTAGAATGTAAATTTTACGCCGTATTATATCTTGATCACTTTCATCTACACTCGAGAAAATGTCAGCAGTCAATTAAACATCGTTTATAACTTCCTTAGTCTCAATAGAATAGTGTTTTCTACATTTGGGCGGGAGCATCTCCTGAAATACACTAGACTCGCACATATTTTGCATAATTCGCACACGATTCAACACAACTTAAACTAAATAGTATACCAAACCAAAGAATATTAAACACTGGTAAGTATAAAATTAGTTTCTATTACGAACCACAATTTTACGTGAATTTAAATTCCGAAACTGTAGGCAATAATTTAGTTGCATTGTATGTTAATGACCTCCCTTGGATAATCCCATTCAAAAGCAATTGGTCACTTTCTTATATCTATGAACAGACCATAACTCCTTCAATCCTTGAGAAAATGTAAAAGTGCCATTTTGTAGTTTGTATATAGTGTTGAATTTAACTCCTTCTATCCTTAGGAACAATGATTCCTAGAGAAAAAGTAAAAGGACAATGTTTTAGTCTGCATAATGTAGAATGTAATTCCTTCACTCCTTCGGAATGGCGACTCCTTCAGAAAAAGTAAAAGAAGCATTTTGTAGTCTGCAATGTAAAATCCTTAGGAATGGTGATTCTTAGAGAAAAAGTACAGGAACGATTTTTGTAGATAATTTTGTATTCTACATTTTATGTCTGAGATATTTTTTTAAATAAAATTTTTGACCTTAAATGTCCTTCTGGCGGTATCCAAGGTTAACTAAGTAAAATCCAGCTCTGTCTGTTTTGACTGGACTTGATTCTGGGACCACGGAGTGGTAATCTACTTTTTTGAACTTTTCGACTTTGGGGGGCGCCGCTAATGTAAACGGCGACCTTCGCCGCTCTTAAGAAGGAATTACCTTAATGGACGAATTCTATTTGCTCGCGGCGCGTTCGGTCGTAAAAGAAACCGGAATATGCCCGGAGCCAGCTCGTCATTACCGCAACCGAGCGAACGATATTCCTTTTTTTTTCCGTTATCCCCCCTCCCCATCCACCGTCCGACAACGAGAGTAATCGTGGCACTTCCCTTTTGTTTGACTGCATTAGCCCGTCTTCTTTTTTTTTTCCTCTTTTTTTTTGGAGTTTTATTTTATTGCATCCCCGCCGCCGTCGGATCGGCGAATGTCATTTATCAATCTCTTTTGAAGCGTTTTAAACGTATTACGGTCCCGCGGCGGCGGCGGCGGTGGCGGCGGCCCATCGATCATTCTCGCGTCCCGCCTTTTTTTTTTTTTTTGGGCACCGGCGTTCCGCGTTTGCCATAAACGGACGCGTAAACACGACGGGATTAAACCGACACGTACAGGGCGCGCCTCACTCCCACCTCTCGGATTACGAGGGCGCTGTAATCGAACAAAGAGGCGTTTTAAATATGAGGAAAGAATAATAATAGAAATTTTATCAATCCACAACGTGACCTCATGGGTTGATAACTGGATGTTCGATTAGGTTTTCACTGGAAATCTGCTGGACAGAGTGTTTTTCTACTCATTTACACACAGAAAACCTGCTTGTGGTTACCGTTCAAGCTAAAATGGTTGGTTAAGTTGATCTGTGCAATCATTTACCCAAAATTCTTCCTTAGCGGTAGCGTACAATCTAAAAAGTGAGGTTTTCAGTTGATCTCTGCAAAGGAGCGAAAATGACGATTTCATCGAAATCTACTAGGGTGAGTGGAGTTTCACTTTTTTGTCTTTTTTCGGTAAAAATTCTCCTGGTGAACCCAAAAAAAGATGTTTCAGGTTGATCTTTACGGGTTTAATGAAATTTTCGTAACAATAAAGTTATTTTCAAATAGAGTTTAATCGAAATCGGAATAGGAACAGTGCAGTTTCATTCTTCTCTTGTCTTTTCGTCAAAAAGTCTCCCTAATGCTACTGGTCAGCCCAAAAAGTAAGGTTTGAGGTTAAACCGTGCAGGTTTGATGAAGTTTTCAAAACAATAAAGTTTTTTCGGTAAAAATTCTCCTGGTGAACCCAAAAAAAGATGTTTCAGGTTGATCTTTACGAGTTTAATGAAATTTTCGTAACAATAAAGTTATTTTCAAATAGAGTTTAATCGAAATCGGAATAGGAACAGTGCAGTTTCATTCTTCTCTTGTCTTTTCGTCAAAAAGTCTCCCTAATGCTACTGGTCAGCCCAAAAAGTAAGGTTTGAGGTTAAACCGTGCAGGTTTGATGAAGTTTTCAAAACAATAAAGTTTTTTCGGCAAAAATTCTCCTGGTGAACCCAAAAAGTGATGTTTCAGGTTGATCTTTACGCGTTTAATGAAATTTTCGTAACAATAAAGTCATTTTCAAAGAGAGTTTAATCGAAATCTTCTAGGAACAGTGCAGTGTCATTCTTCTCCTGTTTTTTTGTCAAAATCTCCTTAATGCTACTGGTCAACCCAAAAAGTGAGGTTATCAAAAGCTTTCGTAGCAATAATATTGGTTTCGACTAGAAATTAGTCAAAATCTACTAGGAACAGTACAGTTTCAATCTTATTTTGCTATTTTTTCCTCAATAATTCTCCTTAAAACTACTGGTCAACCCAAAATGTGAGGTTTTAGATTTATGTTTACATGTTTGATAAAGTTGGCTTCGACTAGAATTTAATCGAAATTTGCTAAGAGTGGAGTTTACCTCTTCTCTTGTTGCGATCTTCGCTGCAATTTCATTCAGCCCAGAAGCGAGCTGTTAAATTGATCTTTGCTGCTTTAATGAAGTTTTCGCAACACTAAATGGTGAAAAAGCTACTAGGAAGAGTAGAGTTTTGGTTTTCGTCAACAATCTTTATAGGAGCTACTGTTGAACCCAAAAAGTGAGGTTTTACTTTGATATCTGCAAGTTAGATGAAGTTTCTGTCACGATAAATGGTAAAAAGGTTTATTTTGAGTTTAGATTTATTAGTCATTGTTGTTGCATAAGGTAAGGTTTTACGCTAATTCCTGCAAACTCGATTAAGTGTTCGTTCGTTGTGAAAAAGCTGATTTTTACTAGAATTTCATTGAAGTCGTACTACCTTTCACTCATTTCTTATTGTCTTTTCGCAAAACATCCTTCTTGGAGCTGATGTTAAGGAAAAGAGTTGCTTGCTGTTTCGTCCAAGTCTACTGGAGTTTCACTCATTTATTTCAAACCTTTTTTTGTTGCCCCTAGTCACGGTTTCGAATTTATAATGAGTTGGCAACTACGGTCTCTCAGAAAGCTCTCGCGGATATAGCGGCGAGGAACGTTTCAAAGCAATTCCATTCGAAAAGCCGCCCCCGATGTACCGTATTATATATATGGAGAGAGTTGTGGCTCGTCTTTTTGTCGCCGCCGCGAAAGTTGTTTAATAGAGTTCCGGCGGAGTTGCCGGAGTCGCGTTTAACTTTTCGGCGAGTCTCCCGCCTCCAGGTCCGCTCGATTAACGAACACTCTCGAATTTGAAATGGGCGTGGCATGGGCGTGATCTCCGGTGGTGGTGGGGGGTGCGCATCCTATCTCCAGCGCCTGCTACTTACTATACTCATGATGGTAG